TACCGAGTACTATATTGCCCACTACCAGTTGTTTCGAGGACTTTACAAAAAATAATTACCCACTTTATAAAGTCAATTACCTTATACACTGTGCACGGTAAGGCGACAGGTTTATTGGAGATACAACAGCCTTACGGCATTTTGTTTCTCCTATTTTGTCGGCCCCGCAGTACAATGCTAGTGCCCGACTAAAAAGTCAAATGGTTCTAGGCTCAATACGTGAATGTATTATTTCTGGACACACCTGTTTTATCACCTCGCGGTAATATAGGTGCAGTCGTTAAAAAAAATCCTTACTCGGGAAATGAGAGAAGGCCAGAGGTGGGCGCCATAGATGCAGAACGGATTAGATAAATATCATTCAAAGCGATATATCAAGTAGGAACCTTGCATTGAAGTGCATGAATATTATGAGCTAATGAAATCCATTCGATGCACAGTTGCTACACTCCTCACGGCTGAAGGATGTGAGAAGGGGGCGTGGTCGATAGTTAGCGAGTCATTTTATTCTTAGTTATTTATTTTCATTATACTAATTAGACAGGCCATAATTGCTGCAAGGGATGGAACCCCTTCTGTTCTGCTGGCAACATCCGTTTGTAGCACTTAGACTGTCGGAAACCGACATAGAGCTCAGGTTTTCCATGAGATTACGTTGTGCCACATCCATCCAAATCGTCATATCTGGGCAGCCATGGGCAGAGACTTCCCCCAAGATCATACACCGGGGCATTAGTGGCATCATGCTTCGTAGACTTTCCTGTATTCGCTGAGCTGGTGGCGTAACACGTATTAGAATTAATAGACATTTCAAAAACTTTAATGTTTCCTCTTCAGTTTGCTTGAATTTTCAGGCAATATCGTCATTGCCATGAAATCTATTTAGGACCTAAGTTACTTGGATCATACATATCATGCGAACAGGGATACTAATATCAGGTCGAGTTCACAGCTCATTCTCCCACCGTTTTCGTCATCGTTTCATATTGTTAAGTTAGAAAGTGTAAAGATCATTTTTAGCGAGTGTGCCATGTTGCCAGTCAGTTCTTAGAATCAGTTACTAGGATAAACTGAATAAGAGTGAGACATGCGTTTATTTAAAGTTGCCAGAGGAGGTCTCTTCCACACTCAAGGTCTCTTTTAAGATAATTTCCCTCCCTCGAGGTGGGAAACCATTCAGCAGATCCTCAAGAGATATTATATAACTGAAATGTGAAGTCAGACTTATAAAGTGACTAACATTGCCTGGAGAAAGTGCGAGGAAACAAAATATATCACTCAAATATCATTATTTATATAAAATACACAGGATACTCGATACTTTCGATATCAGGGTAATATCGAAACTATCGATACGCCCACTGTAAATGATAGTAGCAGAAGTAGCACACGTAGAAGTAGTAAAGTTCGTAATTAATAACGGAATGCTCTTGACTCTCCCTCAATAACAACTGAATACTTATCAAAGAACATTTTTCCTCCTTTTTGCTCAGCATTGCATTTACCCATTGAGCCGTGTTTTTTACAGATCGAACTCTCCCCAACTGTTAGCTTCCAGTCCGGAAAGTGAGACTGTATTAAGGTTCGATAACCTATTCCCAACACGTACAGTACAGGGAGACGGGAGGCGACATTTCATCCTCTGATGGCTTGTATAGAAAGGTTTGCCGGAAGGTTCATTCTTTCTTGGGCTGAAAAATAGTGTGTATGTGTGTGTGTGTGTGTGTGTGTGTGTGTGTGTGTGTGTGTGTGTGTGTGTGTGTGTGTGTGTGTGTGTGTGTGTGTGTGTGTGTGATTTCACTTAGGAGCTGCTATTAATGTTGAATTCACTGATATGGAGCCAGAGATGATGGTAATCACAGAAAACTGCATTTTCTATACCTGTTTTACATACTGACATACATCAATGGCATGGGGCCACGATTTGACAGTGAGGACGTTCAATAAATACACTGGTCTCTTCTGCCTCATTTGTAGACGCTAACATAGAGCATTGTTTTTCGTCAAAAAGAACATGCAGTCAGTGATTTCCGTGAATCATGATCTGTAGAAGTGGTCTGTATTACATGCAATTAAGTATTGAAGAGCTTTGTTTTAAATAGGCTTGGCGCTCTATCAGGCAACGTATCTATGCCGAAGCAGCTCACAACCGCTGCAATTTACGGGGTCATCTGTGCCTGCACTTGTTTCATGGTTATTCAAGGAGGAAATGAACTGTCACTTCATGTAACTCCATTGGTTTTGAAACTATTTGAAACTCTTGGGATAATTAGTATCGGTAAATCAAAGGCAGCGACATCTGAAGAGCATGGGGAAGGTGATCAGCTTCTTCAGATGTGTGAGGTAAGTTCAGGGTATGTAACTGCCTTGCCATATTCTTGTCCATTTCCCTTAGACACAAAGCTAATTGAGTGTCTAATCATTATGGCATACTCGATGGATTACAGACTTACAACTGAACAGTCATTTGGAATCTATGAAGATTTTAATGAAAATAGAGATTGAGTTTTATAAACTCACGGGGATCGAAATGTTTCTAGTAACCTCTTCCTCGTTTTAGAATGTTACTTTTATACTCACCACCTTCACTTAGAATTGAATTTTGATCACGTGCAATAACCACACGAGAACGCATAAAATGCTCTCTCGGTGTAATCAATCACCGAAGGCCTTTCCTATGCCTGGTCTTAACAAAGATAATACGTATAGTTACGGGTAATAGGAATAAAACGGCCATTATAAATGTTGACTGAATCAGTAACATAGATAAAACAATGATAATGACAAAGATGATTATGGTAATGCAGTAACACTTGCGATTATAATTTTATAAATTTAGTAAAATTAAGAAAAAACAGAGCCATTACTCTCTGTTACTAATTTTGTAGATGATAGTATCACTAAAAAAAATAAATAAATAAAAAGATAAACAATCCAATAAAAAATCTGCAGTTTGGTATTTTTCATGGCAGCCATTATTCTCTCCGTAGTTGGTACCGCTATCATGATTATCATTACTGCCATTATATCTATGAGTATGAAGAGACATTTGATGACAATATCCTAATGTAAAACGGCATAGAAATTACGTAGTATGTGGATTAGTATGATCATTAGTATCATCATTAACATATTTATTATCATTGTAACTGTGAAATGATAAAGTTCCTGTTAATGATTCTCACTGTTATCACCATGGTTATTATCATAATCATCGTTATCACCACTATCTTCAGCATTAGTTATTATTGTTGCAGTTGATATTATTGATATTTCAACTATAAATTGAAATAGTGAAAATGATGATAATTGCATATACATCTACATAGCAATAAAATATCATAGCGGTAATCATAGTAAAAATAGGGATAAAGGATAAAAGTGGTAAAAACAAAAATGAGAATGTTAATCATCATGATGATGACAGTAATAAATATGACGATAATTATAATACCATTAATAATACTAATGAAAAATGATAATTATGATAATGATTGTGGTGATGAAAAAAAATGACATTAATACTAATAATAAAAACTACAAACAATGATACTAGTAGTAAAAGTAACAGCAATAATCATAAAAGTAAAGATAATGATACTAATAATAAAGGATAATAACTATAATATAATGTGCATTAGGGAAGCAAGGAGCCTATCAGAGGGAGAAAAAAAGACGCCGCCCGCTACTTGGGGTAACTAATAAAAGTAATATTATTATCGATCTTAATGCTATAATCATTATCAGAATATCAATAACAAGTAATATTGCTGTTATTGTTGTTATTATCATAATCCGTAGCAGTATAAGCATCTTCATTTCCTTATTATTGTTATTATTATAATTATCATAATTTTATTATTATTATCATTATCATTATCATTGTTATTGTCATTATCATTTTCATTATTATTACTATTACTATTACTATTACTATTATTATTATTATCATTATTTTTATCATTATGATTTTCATTATCACAATCATTATTATTATTGTTATTATCATTAGTTATCAGTTATCATTGTCATTTATTATTATTGTTCTATTATTATTAACATTGTTATCATTATTATTATTGTTATTATTATTGTTATTATTATTATTTTTATTAGTATCATTATTGTTATTATTATCATTATTATTATTATTATTATTATTATTATTATTATTATTATTATTATTATTATTATTATTATTATTATTATTATCAGTTATCATTATCATTTATCATTATCATTTATTGTTATTATTCTATTATTATTATCATCATTATCATAACTTTTATAAATTATTATAATTATTATTTATGCTGTTGTTTTTATTATTACTGTTACGCACATTTGTTATTCATACAATAGGAATTGGGCATATTAATGTGAACGAGAACTATAATGATTACATTAGTAATAATAGCAATAATCATAATGATAATATTAGTAAAGTAGTAGAAGTAGTAGTAGTAGTAGGAGGGGGAGGGGGAGGAGGAGGAGGAGGAGGAGGAGGAGGAGGAGGAGGAGGAGGAGGAGGAGGAGGAGGAGGAGGAGGAGGAGGAGGAGGAGGAGGAGGAGGAGGAGGAGCAGGGGGAGGAGGAGAAGGAATGTGAGGAGTAATAGTATTAACATTTATAATAAGAACAATAATATTATTATTAATATTGAAAGTAATGACAATAATAATGATAATATTCATAAGAAATACCAATGACAGTGATAGTAGAAATAATAATGATTATAATAATAATGATAATAATAATAATAATAATAACAATAATGATAATAATAATAATAACAATAATAATAATAATAATAATAATAATAATAATAATAATAATAATAGTAATAGTAATGATAATAATAATAATAATAATAATAATAATAATAATAATAATAATAATAGTAATAGTAATGATAATAATAATAATAATAATAATAATAATAATAATAATAATGATAATAACTAAAAATAATTATAATAGTTGTAATAGTGAAGGTAATCATGTTAGTCATAACAATAATAATAATAATAGAAATAAATTTACATATCATGATACTAATGGTAAGAACACAAGCTGCCACCTGTGATAGAGAATGACAAGGTCACAATTCTCCGGGATTTCTGCATAACTTCTGAGAGAACCATTCAAGTGAATAGGCCAGACATAATCATAAAAAACACAAGGGAAAAAACCTGGATTTTGACTGATGTGTCCGTATCAACAAATAAAAATGTGTCTGCTAGGGAGTTTGATATGTTGTCCAAGTACATGGTTCTAACCTTTTTCAGTGGACGTGCTCTTTTCACATCAGCAGTCTTTCCCGAATTACAAATAGGATCTCATGTTTTTTCTTATTCTTTCTTTATTGACAAAGTTTTTTTTTGTGTGTGATAAAAATACCGCGCATGCAAAAATATGTTTTGCATCCTTGTACCCCCTAGGAACGGCCTCGCACCCCGGTTAAGTAACACTGATCTAGTAAATGGGCACTATAAGAGCTTCTTCCTAAGATATTCTTTTTGTTGCTTCAGGTTTCTGGTCGAAACTCAGCAGTGTGACAAAAAAGAAATTCTCAAAGAGAAAAAAATAACAAAAATAATATCAATAATGATAATAATGAAAATCATAATGTCAGTAATGATAATAATGATAATCATAATATCAACAATGATAATAATGATAATCATAATATCAATAATAATAATAATGATAATCATAATATCAATAAAGATAATAATGATAATCATATTATCAATAATCGCAATAACAAGGATAATAATGATAATAAGAGTAATACTACTACTACTACTAATAATAATAATAATAGTAATAATTATGATTATTACCATCGTTTAATAATAACAATGATTCGGGTTTACGCCACGAGTAAGGACAGTGCGCTCTTCCCAATGGCTTTGGTCTGACAGGCGGGGACCGTGGTTGCCCTTCCTTTTCATCCCAGACCATTGGTGCAGGATTCGAACTAGCGTGCTGAGTGACCCACCTTACCGGTCCCCAGTCGCGGCGTTACCGCTGATGAAAAATAATGATTAGAATTAAAGAAATAATAATAATGATAGTAATAATATAGTCTTTGATTAATGTTGATGATAATAGTAATGTTAATAATAAAGATATTAATAATAGTAATGTTAACAATAATGCCAATAATATTTTTTGAAAATAATAATGACTATAATAATGATAAAAATTAATATTAATTATAAATAATATAATAATAATAACGAGAGTAATATGAATAATCATATTAATGATAACAATAACAAAAATAATTACTACACGAATTACAGTATCAAAATTAACAATGATTATAATAATAAAGTTAATGATAATGTTAATAAAGATAATATTGTTGATAATAACATTGATAATATTGATTATGATAATAATGTTAGGGAAAATATTAACATTAATGTTAATGTTGAGATGAGATGATAATGATGATAATAATAATGGTGATGACACTAATGATAAAATTCTACTACTACTAATAGTAATAATAATGATAATGATAATAATGCTGCTCATAATAGTAACGGTAATGATGACCATAATAAATATCATCATCATCATTATGACCATCATCATAATAGGAATAATGATAATATTCAGAATAAAAAGAACAAGGAAATGACAGTGATTATCACAATTTAGTTTCGTCCGTCCGCTCACTGCAAATCAAATTAGAGCTTAGACTAACACATCACTTGCATAAGCGCTCTTGTTTAAAATGATGTATGAACTTGAGGTTTGTTTTCATCAATTTATTTCGCTCAGCGAGCGACAAACCTCTACAACACAAATTAAATGTTGGCTACAGAGCATTCATGATACGCAGGTTACGCCATGTATCAAATGTAGAAGGAGAGGGGAAATAAATACATAAATGATAAACAACGGAAGCTCGGCTGGAATATTAACAGCCACCAAAATATGGGTGTTGCAAAAGTATTACATCTAGATTGCCCTCTGCTAATAAGTACTTGCAGACGTCAATGACAGAGTCTCTTTTTGATACGAGATCAGCAACTTTTGGACACTCGAGGCAGTAATGCTGTAGATGGTTCGCATTGTGTGCGTCACACAACTTACACAATGAGTACTGGGGCACGTTGCGATTGAGGTTTGCGAAGTTCTAGCTTCGCCCGGGCCTTCTGGCTCTGGCCCGGTTTTATGTATGAACTATCATGGCCTGATATAAAAAAATACAAGTGACTGCGGACTTGAAGGTATTTACCTAGTGTAATTATTATTCCGTTGAATTTGGAAATGACGCCTAACACTTATCAGACGATGAATAGGTGTCGTGTTTCGAATGAATCTAGCACTTATTTCCTTCACAAACGAAACACAGCTACGATATAGGTCCCGATAGGTGGGGAGGGCATGAAACGTGCAGGGAATTAGGGGAGGGGGGTCGAGAAATATCGGCAATACACGGGAAAGCACAATATATCCACTCGCTTCCAGGTTACGTAGGACCCCCTTCTGGCGTGGGGCTGCTGCCCCCTCCACCCCCTGCCTAGTCTATAAAATCTTCACCTCATGTTCTGGCAGTTTAGCTCAGGCAAGCAACAAATACTGACGCGTTTTCGGGTGATATAGGGGGCTTGGCCCCCTTAAATCCCCGGGGGGGCTATCGCCCCATTTCCCCGTCAGTTCACTCACTGTTCACCTCATACGTTCCGGCAGGAGAGAGCCCAGACGCAGTAACCGTTTTACCCACACCTTACCTCAAGCGTTATCGCGGGGCCTTCCAGGCCGTCGGTGGGAATCGTGATCGCTGATGACGGACCAGTGTTTGTCATGACACGGTGTCTTGCATTACTTACACACGCAATATACCGTGACTTCGTGGGTACGATGAACTTGCATCGTAATTTCGATGATACTTTGCAAAGAAATCGAAATCGTTATTATCACACCCGACACAGCCTAACCATGATGGG